CCAAAATATACAGCTGTTCACATACCTCTAGCCGCAAGCCAACATCCCTTAACTCAAAGGTACTCCGTTGACCCCATGTAATACCCAGGCTATCCAAGTCCAACGCATCGGTATCGACGATCTCCAGCCGAGAAAGCGCATATCTAAGAAGGCGTTTCTGGAAGAACGAAGGGACAAAGTACGACATAGTTCGGCTCTTTACCGAAATATTTCTCCTATCGAGGCCTTCTTATGCTGACGGCTCATACAATACTTGCTAGAAGGCCGTCTGCATGGTTGCCGAAGAGAGAGAGAAGAGACGAAGAAGAGGGGGATACAGTTCGATAAGAGGGTAGAGCGTCCCCAGACTGTCCTGGAGCGAGCTATATCCCGACTGTCGCCCTTGCAAAAAGGCTAGTCTGGTAGGTCTAGGTGAGTGGTGTAAGGAGGAGATATGCTGGTAGATATGCAGCAGTAGATGTGAGCTGTGGATGCGGGCTTTGAGGCTCAACAAATAAATAGTAATACAGAGAAACAGCCCAGCGATCAAGCAAGCAGCATCAAGCAAGCTCAAGCAAGATAATAGAATAGTCAAAGCAAGCCACAGGAGACAGGGCTTGGGATCTGCTATTAGGATGAGAGGGCTAAAAGGACCCCCAAGACAGGCACTTGACACAGCGGACAAGGTAGAGACAAAAGGATAGCCGGGGGAACGATGGGTCAGTCAAGAGGCGCCGCCATGGGAGATTTTAAACTACTGGCTAAAAGAAGAGACGGAAACAACGGGAGAAACAAAACGCTGCCACGTCTGCCACCTGCTAGAGCTGCTTGCTGTGAGGCTACAGGCATGATTTGCCATGAGCGATGCCGTGGACTGCAAACTAGCGCTTCAGATATGACGGAGTTGACTCTTTTTACGCCGTCGTGCAGCTTAAATCGTGCTGACTAAGCCGTTGCCCTCTCGACCGGCGGATGCGAGGCGTGATCGGGGCAGCCAAACAGAGCAAACGGCGCTTCATGACCGGCTCAGGCGACATGGGAGAAGGCAAGTGAGGATGGATGATGATGCTGCTACTCCGTAGTTAGAGATCGCTATATAGCCTCGTCTATGCAGTACGTTTTATTAGTCGCAAGACAACAACAAAAAAAAAAAGTGAAGAAGCAAATAATAAATCTCTAGTCGTCGCTTGGAGGAACGTCGGCGCCAAACTCGAGAACCACCCACTGGCAGAACTGCTCAAACTCGACATGCCAGTTGCGTATATACTCGCTCTTCTGGCCCGTTCCAGCTATACCTCGTTTGATATCTGCAAGCCAGGCCGAGTTGTCCTGGTCCTCGAAGCAGCTCCATCTGAGCGAGTTCTCGGCCATGGTAGCGAGGCCCGAGAGACCAACATTTTCCAGGCCGTTTAACACTTGACAGAAGTCGTGGGTAAGTCCGTTTTTACCGTGGCCGAGCATCGTTGGATCATCGTTGCACAGTGACACAGCTACGCCTCTAGCCAGCAGGGCTGGAAGCGGATGTGACATGATGGAGCTAGTGAACCGCAACACTTCATTCGAGATCGGACAGCACTCGACCATAATCTTCTTCTCCTTTACCAAGTCTATCAGCAGAGGGTGCTTGTAGAGCGAGAACGCATGACCGATACGGCGTGTGCCTAGGAGAATTGCATCGTACAGATTTGAGTCTGTCTCATCGCCGTCTCCCAGGCACTCTCCTGCATGGAACATGAACGGGATCTCGACTCCCTCCACAGCACACTGTTTTTTGAACAAGAAGAGGACAGGGATCATGTCCACTAGCGACCTCCCATCATCTTCACGCCCAACCAGGTCGAAGCCGCAAATGAGCTCGGGGAACTGCAATTTAGTGAGTATACACTCTTTCATACTCTCCACAATATCACGGTTCGGATGGCTTCGCATAGTTGTCCATATCATCCGGGCACCATGAAACCCCTTACCGGCATCTGAGGCTTTGAAACTTTCGATCTCTTCTCCAAACGCTTCGAATATCGACTCAAAGTTGGAGTCAGGCTCTTCACACTTATCACGGCGATATTCGAATCCAAAGGCTAGTCGGAATTCGACATATCTAATGCCGTCTTCGTTTAACTCTGTCAGCATATGCTTGAGACATGCTCGAAATATCGGTTCGTAGTAGAGTATCGCATCTACTACCTGGAATTTTTGATCAAGCACTTCCCAGATGGCTGCACATCCATGGTGATGGCTCAAGGATGTCTCCTTCTCAATAGTACATCTCCCCTTAAGCCAATCGCTGAACCCTTTAACTCCCCCATCTGGGAATGTTTCGGCAGCTTCTTTTACGGGAATGAACAGCTGTGGTTTATATGCTGAACTCCATATGCCCGCTACGCCAGATTCAGATCCAGCACTTTGTGGTTTGGAAAAATACTGAAATCGTAGTGGAGAAAGTAAGAGGCTCTCTCCTATCAATGGTCGTTCCGATGCCATGTGAATGCCAGGGAGAGATAACACTTGGTTTACCAGTACATCCAAATCAACCATTGCCTCGAGGTGGCCATGTAGTAAAGCTCCTTTGACAGAGAATTAGCCGACGTCTATATGCTGCTTCACCGCCCCATGTGTACGATCCGGTTACTATGGTGCCACGACTTACCTTTTGGCATCCTTTTAACTATCTTCCATAAATCTGTTCCTTCCATCTTATCCTTGGCTAGTCGGAACATCATTCCTGGATAAAGCACCGTATCCTGGGTCTTTGCTAGGTTCTCCTCCGCTTCCTTATCCCAGACAGTTTTTAGTTCCCTATTTCGGATATGTGAGATAATCCGGCATGCTTCCTTTGTAGAGGCTGACATGCACTTTTGAAAATGAGCATCTATAGCAAACAGTGTCAGATATAAGTTTAAGTTTCTAAACCATTTGCAACTCGAGAGCTTTGAGTATATTTTCCATTCAATAATGCCTTGAACAGAATATTAGGAGTCTGATAGACCTGGAACTCACCATGCCTCTGCTTCTTTTCCTCCTGAATTAAGGCATTCCTCCCTTGTAAATACTTTTGGATGAACGGGTCCTCAAACTGGGGTATTCCTTCTTCTACTTCCCAGGCAGCAGCTTCATCCTGGTTCCCTTCTCCTTTAGCTTTGGCACTGAGAGGCGGTTCCATTCTATCTTTCAGTAATTAGTAAAAAGAAAATTATCAGTTTTATGCCCGCATCCCTTATAATATCGTGTTGTAGGATCAAAAAACGCAACTATCAAGTTCAACTTCAACGTCAACAAGTACAAGTGGGAAGTTGCCTATCTGGGATGTCGCTGTTGATTGGTTAAGAGCGGAACGAGATGGGTCTCCAGTTCAGCCAATGGCGGAATCAGGGATATATATTATCCGTCATATTAGGTAAGCATATATTAATATCACGTGATATGGATCTTTGGCTTCGAGATGGAATTTTTGACGCTTCAACGATGCAAAAGAAAGCCGGACAACAATACACCAGCCTGCCGTCAATTGCCCTGGAGCCTTTGAATCAGTGAATATTACGTATATTATTGTGGCATTGGCTCCACAGATCCTCTGATTTTTCCATTGCCTTGCCCGACAGCCTTCCCCTTTTTTGGGCGTGGCGCCCGCGAGAGCGAAGTGATCATGAACTCAACACGCAGCCAGCTTCTCCGTCTATGCGGGATACCTTTTTCTCATTCGGCCTTTAGGCCCGTTACGTCCTCGATACCGTCTCTTGTCCGCCATGCGCAACCATTAGCTACGAAAACAATAGGAAGCATTGCCAGCTCCAACCTACTATCCTCTCTACCGCGTTCTTCTCCATTTTCCACCTCGACATCAACCCAATCTCAACCCCCCCCCTCCGACGCTGCCTCTACAACAACACCTACCTCAACTACCACACTCCCTCCGGGTGTAAGCCGCGGCTTTGGCACAGTCATCTCTGCAGGCCGCATGCAACGCACCGTTCGCGTGGAACAAATACGCACCAAATTCGACAACTCTCTCCAGAAGCGGTTCCTTGTAAAGAAAGTTCACCTTGTCTCTGATCCCCGTGATTCGCTTCGAGAAGGTGACAAGATTGAATTTTGGAGTGGGCGGCGTGTGAGCGAACATGTGAGGCATGTAGTGGAAAGGATAATCGTACCTTTCGGAACACCAATCGAAGACCGTCCCCCGGTTATGACTTATGCGGAGAGAAAAGAAGAGGAATTGAATGCGCGGAAGAACAGAAGGCTCAGGAGGCTTGAAAGAATGGCGAACGGCCAGCCCGTCGATATTGAAGTAACCGGGGAACTGAGAATGGGGAAACTCAAGGAACGAGTTATGAAGAGACTGGAGGCTGAGAAGGAGAGGCAGAAACAATCCAATGCGTGAGGGATGCATGTTACCGGATAGCCATGATATTTGTTTTTATGCGCTTTATTTAGAAGGCGGCTTTGGTGGTATTTGAAGATTTTCAATGTATTAGTAGCTGAATATTGTATATTAACAACGAAGGACTAAAATCAGCATACTTGTGTCGAAGGTAATTAATCTCTTTATCTGCCATCTGTGTGGAGCGTTGTGCATAGCGGCATTGGTATATACCCACTAACGGTGGCTACAAGATTCCTGAGTTGAAGCTATCTGGTAGATAAGAATATCAACTCAAGTGAAGAGATGATGCCGAGTCGACACGTGCAACTGGATACATCGGACTTTGTTATATTTTTTACGATGCATAACAATACACTTGTAAACCGCCCCGTCCAGACCATGCCTAACGTCAAGAGACACAAAAAACTCCAGATGACATGAACCCAGAATGCCGCTCAAGCCCATTTCTTCTCACCCTTCAATACCCTCGGGAGTAAAACGCCAGAGAAATTTCATGCAATGCAACTCCCGAGAACACGGAACCACTAGGGCGTTCTTGACGGCTCCAGAAGGCAAAACAATAACATAGTTTTTTCCGGTGAGCAAATGCAACAAGAGAAACAAATATGAAAAATATATAACTGAGAGTAGAAGATGGGGTTTATNNNNCTCTTTCTCCAAAGTTCTTTGCCCATTCATCATAACGATCCAATCCGTCTTGATTGACACTGGGGCGGATTGAAAGTAGCGAGGCTTCGAAATCCTTAAAGGAAATAGGGGATATCTTTTCCATTGGGATATGAAGGAGATCCTCGCCTAAGTTGCGTAATGGGCCCATAGCTGCATCCTTTGCAAGAGCAGTGATATCGGATCCAGAAAAACCTAGGCAAAGTGTCAGATCCAGTAAGCTCAACAAACAGACGGCGTACGCGAAGTTTCATACCTTCTGTAAGACTAGATAATCTATCGATATCGGCCTCTGAGAGCTCATGCTTCTGATGGCTCAGTAGCTTCTGTAGTTGTAGTTTTCGCACCTCAGGTTCCGGAAGAGGTATATACTGCCTTCGAACAAACCGGCGCCGAGCTGCATCGTCTATATCCCAGGGCATATTTGTTGCCGCGAGAACTAAAACTCGTGATGCATCGCCCATTTTCTTATCCTTGGAATTTTGTTCTCTGCCCGCGGCAGCTCGCTGTAGATCAGACCATTGGATAAGAAATTCCGTTTTTATACGCCTGGAGACTTCTGCCTCGCTGGACCGAGATCGTGAGGAGAGCAGCGCGTCAATCTCGTCAACGAATATTATGGATGGGGCTAACGCTTTAGCTAATCCAAAGAGGGCTCTAACCAGCTTCTCACTGTCCCCATGCCATTTGGAAGCTAAACTTGAAGCCGAGACTGAGAAGAATGTGGATTGAGATTCAGTAGCAACTGCTCTGGCTATCATAGTCTTTCCAGTTCCTGGAGGACCAAATAGCAGCATGCCTCTGGCTGGTTCACGAAGTCCCATGAAAAGATCTGGTCGAAGGAAAGGGTACACAACAGCTTCTTTCAGAGCCGTCTTTGCAAGTTCAAGACCAGCAACGTCATCCCAATGCACTTCGTCTCCATGTACCACGATTTCTTTGAAGATTTGTTTGGCAGACTCCTGATCAACTCCTTTTGGCAAATTGCTCAACGCTCGTTTTAAAACCAGATCTTCCTCTGGTTCATATTCCGGTAGGTCAATATCATCGTCAATATTGTCTCCTTGAGCGGGTATCTCTGCTGAATATTCGCTAGATTTGGATGTCGTCCTCTTTGGTCCAACTGCCGGCCGATTTGCAGGAGCCGAAGGTTGAGTGTTCAATTGTCTCATCTTGCCGTTAGGGGGGAAGTCACTATTACGGCTTTCAACGTTTCTACAATCTTTCACGTTTGATCGTGGTTTAGAAGGCGCAGAATTTGATGATTTGACTGCCTTCCTCTGGAAAACATCATCTGGTGTAACTTTATTCGAGCGAGATTGAAGAGTGGCTTGCGTGGCAGGGACAGACCGCGCTGGTTCTGTATTGGAGCTTTTAAGAGACGTCGGAGGTTTGGATTGTGGTGGGCTGTACCCAGAATCATTCTTCTTGTCTGTTGACTTCGGTTTATCTGATGGTCCTCCCTTGAGCTCCGGAGAAGAATCAAGAAAGCTGTTGGATGATTCTGCTTCCATTGGCCTTTGGGCAGCAGCTGCCGCGGCAGCAGCGCCCGCAGCTAGACTCGCAGCAGTGTGATCTCCAGATATTCTTCGTGTGATTGGAGAGCCGGAAAAATAATCTGGGCGATGAGATGCGCGGGCTGGCGTTGAAGATTCATCGATGGACCGGCGAGTTGGAAGAACATCCCTCTTCGAACCAGAGTCACTCGAAGTACTTTTCCGTGGAGTCGCAGGGGCAGATTCATTTGCTGGGGAAGTTTGACCACGTTTGGATGAGTTCGATTGGGTAACAAAGCTCCAAGCCAAACCAGCAGCTTTAGAAGCCGGCTTCGAATGTTTGCGTGGTTGTGTGTTGGAGTTTGTAGGGGATTTCAGATCCTTTCCACGAAGCGTAGTGAGCAGCGTCTTCTTTTTCTCCGGGTTTTGCACCCGGTTTGTGTCCCTGGGTATAGCCGGTACGGGAAGTGTTGGAGGTGATGGTAGGGAGTCCAATCCTAGGCCGCGAACATCACCCGAACTGCTCAGTGGAGCAGGTATTGTGGAATTGAGGCTGGACTGGCTCTGCGTTGTGGATCGAGGTGGTAGAGCCGGTGGCCGTGGCAGATCTGGATAACTCAAGGAAGGGATAGTTCCCTCACCAATCCAACCCGAGTGACCACTACTGATGGAGCTCTGAGATCCATTTACCTGAGGCCTGGGTTTCTCTAGCTTTCCTTTCTGGGTCGACGCCGCTTTCACATCAACATCCATACCGGCCTCCTTACGACTTTCTCGTAGTGTTTCCAAGAGCATGACCCTTTCTTTGCATTGTAGTTCCAGCTCACGCAACGAATCCTGTAGGCCTCGCTCAATGTCGTTCTTGGGAATATATGTAGATGGGACTTTGTGCGCATTGTGGTAGTAGAGAGCATCTAGGGCGGCTTTCCAAGTTCGTAATGCTTCTGACTCGTTATTCTGGAGGAGGAAAGGTGGGAAAGTCAGCAATCAGTTCCGATAATATGGATAGACATCCCTCCATCTCGACAGAGAACGGGTAACCTGACCGAAACTGCCTGGCGGGGTATTGGCAGTGTAGCCAGAGGGAACGAGGGCAGTGTACTTACCTGATTCTCGAAATATACAGCCGTCGAGCACATCAAATAGCAATCGTCATATGTCTTCTGCATAGAAGACGAAGCTTTAGGACGCATCATGGCTGCAGTAGGTGAAACAAAAGAACTCCCCTCACCCCATAGGATTAGACAGAACACCGCCCAAATGTCATCAGTAACTCAAAAGTTCAGCCCTGCGAAACCAGCGCAGGAGATAAGAACAAGTTCCAGGCCAGAAGCAAACCAGTCTGTCCCGGAGCTGAGATTCTTCGAGCGAAATGGAGCTCTCGCCGACTCCGTCAGTGCAGATGTCCGACGTCTCGACACCGGCAACTTCGATATCGGCGGTGACAGGGGATGAGAGGGTAAAATCAAAGGACAGGTCGGATCACCGTCCAAGAGATGGCTATAACACCTGCTGAGCACCAGGCTGTAGGTCGGGCAGTCGGTATGGGTGTCTTGTTCGTGTATGGTTGCTTTGCTCAAGAACTTGGCTGGGTGAACTTCTCAAAGTCCCAAAGTTGCTCCATCGCCATCTGGCACGGCGCCACACCCGCACCCGCACTTAGTCATCCACCGTGGAGCTCGGGAGCCAGATGGACAAAAAGCACGGCAGTTGCAAAGATTGGCATTCCCTATAGTTTAGAAACTACGGCGAGGTTGATGCTAATTAGGTACCGTTTGAGCTCGTTAGACAGTGCTTCCCTGCAGCATGACGTTTTACCTCGTGGCCGAAGAAGCAAGGTGCAAGCATATCGCTGCCCTGGGCGACATTTGGCCGTATTCAGTGGAGATCTCTTACCCCCTTGTCTCTTTTCTAAACACCATCTGTTAAAACATGTATCTGGGTCGTTTCGATCTATTCGTCGTTATCTTACATCTTCTATATATAAGTAGAAATACAGTTGTGCAGATGTTATACAAGGAATACGAAAGGAAAAAGAAGCATCCAGAACAACTCCAACCCATGCCAATTTTGAGCCCCAAAAACTGGTGGCATGGAAGGGAGGCCCAAGAAAAGATATGATAGATGCCTCCTTAATGATTTCGGGAATGCCTTTTGACTGCAGGGCGCATTGATCTTGTCATACGCTTGTTTTCCTCCTGTGCTCGATGCTTCAGGCTGAAGGCATAAGTACTCAATGGCATCCGGCTTCCAACAAATTTCCCGTGAGGACTGAACAATTCAACTCTGGGGAAGTCTTCAGGATCCCGAGTTCTCGTCCTGACTTGACAGGTAAGCTCTACCCAGCCACAGCCCTCAATAAGGATGTCAACCCCCATGATTCGATATAATGATGGTAAGTCGCCATTTGGAAGAGGTTTAGCATATCTGGCGGTCACATCATACTTCAGCTCAACTATCCCAGCAGAAGTAATTTGCTCTCCAATTCCTTCTTTTGCAATGTTTCCTGTGGGGCATTCTCTTTGTTGAGTTAGCATCTCGGCCGCTTTGTCTTTGTGAGTAATGTGTGGTTCCAAGGAAACAAAGGGAGAAGCCAAAAAAATATCGTTCTCCTCTAACGGCTTAATTCCTATTAGACCACCCAGAAGAAGCGATTGTGTGGGTTTGATTGTTAGTTGAGTTGGTCTCGGGCGGCTTGTCATTACCAGGTCAGATTTATGCTTGTCCTGTACAAACTCGTCAAGTCCAGAACGGTAGAGCCCGGGCAAGTCAATAACTTCACCTCGGTGCTTGTCGAACGGTATTCTGATAGGAGAAGCAGTAGTTCCGGGACGAACAGAGTCAATCGGGAGGTTGGGAAAGGGGACTTCCTTCTGCAGTGGCGGGAGCAAGACGGCAACTCCATCCTCCCCGTCTTCCAGTTCCTCAGCTGCTGAAACATTTGCTTTATCAGGAGGTGTAGAACGTCCTACTATAGTTATCCCCTTGAAGTTCTGGAGTTTCCTGGCCTTGTATGCTGGAGCCGTCTTTGGGAACACTGAGGTTATCAACTTGCTTTTGCCAACGTTCACCTTGCCCACCATCCATACGCCACCACCTTGATTCCAGATATCTTGCTTGATCTCCTTTGTCCACCAGCCCCTATAGGAGCTAACCATATGGACGTTTCCCAGCCTGATACCATGCTCTTTGCGGTCCAAGGTTTGTCGCAAGATCTCGACCATATATTTCATCAGCGAGTCTGCTTGCGGTTTTACGTTTGACAGTAGGTCGGCTCGGGTAATAACGAAATTCAATTCCGCTAGATAGCGACTCGACCCATATTTCTTGGTATGCGATCTTCGGTTCTGGCTGCGCTGTGGTTGTATAGGCATATATCGTTGGAGGTTTGGGATCACGGAGAGGGGGAAATCGGCCGCATCAACAACATGATAAATATAATTGTTATGGAAAGGGGACTCCTCGATTAGGTCGCGTATATAAGATAATGTGGGATAGGGTATTGGTTCCCCTTCTCCATGGTTGATCAGGTTATGGCATCGATCACACAGTGGAATCGCTATGTCCTCGGGCTCTTTGGGTTCTGGTGCATGTTTATTCTCATAGGCTGCTATGTGTGAAGCATCTACCTCCGCTTGCTTTCCCTGAGTGACATGCCGAATATATTGCTTCACGGGCTTTCGAGTAACGGTATAATACCCAGGCTCCTTAGGGTATACCCATTGTGTCAATGCGCCGCAACCGTGGCATGTGTCAGGAAGTGCCCATGTTTCTAGACCTTTCCCTGTAGTTTGCAAACTCTCAGTAGAGTTATGTTGTCTTTGTTGTCTCGGTGCAAGGGGAAACGCTGTGGACGATGGAAAAGACGTTCTATATGGCTGGAGAGCTCGCCATTGTGACAAACACCGAATAGAAGTGAATTTTCGGAGGGTGATCGGGGAGCGGTGGGGGATACTTCGAGACTGTAATCTGAAAATAGGAATTAGCATCGCGCAAATATTCCTTTCTTCCAGATATATTATGACGGGCAGCGCTTTTTGACAAGCTGCCAAATTTTGAACTGCAATGGATCCGAGCTTGCCCAAATCTTTCTTATCAGCGGATCATTAGAATACCCGAGATCCGAAGATCTGATAACGGAAACTTTATTTTGACCGGCCAGGTGGATTTGAGGTGGATATAATATCACTCCATTCTCTCAAGGTGAATATTATTATGATACAGTATCAAAAGCCGTCCATTGCTAGAGCTAATTCCTCAAAGACTCCAGTTCCTGTTGCGCCGCCAATTATGTAAAATAAGGTAAAATCATACCCTCGCCTTTCCTTTGCCTTTGATATCGGTCTCATCGATTTCATCGTCTTCGTCCTCTGACATGAGGTCCTCATCGTCTTCCTCATCGTCAAATCCAAAGAACCGTCTGACTGGCTTCTTCGTGCTCGCACTAGGCTCATTAGGAGAATCTTCTTCATCAACGTCTTCCATGTCACTATCCTCGCTGGCGTCCATGGATCCTCCGCTTCCGCTGCTCCCACTCGCTTCTGCACTATCCAGTAACCCAGCAAGGTTATCTTTCCAGGCACCCCCGGCCATAGCTTGAAGAACAGCCTCGCGAGCCTTTTCGCTCATCTCTTCTTTATCTTCCATCCATGCACCATCAACTTTCCCTTTTCCTTCACCATTCCGGATCTCTTGCTCTTTCTTCTCTGCAGCGGCAACGGCAGCCTCCCATCGCCTCTTTCGAGCTTCCTTTTCTTTTCTATCCATCTCCGGTTTCAATGCAAGGTATTCTGCTAGGGCCTTTGCCTCCTTCACCGTGCGCAGACGGCGGCCATCAAGGTTACGGTTTGAGCCGGTGTTTGTATCCTGGTTTCCCTTTCGCCGGCTGGACATTCGGCCTCCAGCCGCTCTGAGCTGAGAGCCAAATCCTCCCTTTCCGCCACATACGCGGACACTAAGGCGGAGCGGTAGAAAAGTAGAAGCAGGGTTTGCGACGCCATTTTCAACAGTGTCTGGTATGAGGTTGCTAAGTTTTGCAGGTGAAGAGAAGGGGATTTGCTTGTTGTTCGTTGTTGTCAATATAAGAGGGGAGGACTGAGCAGTCAGAGGGAAAGGAAGATGGGCGCTTATTCTATCTGTGAGGTCTGCGATAGAAGATGTTGATGGTAGAGGGATGGCCAGAGTCGCAGGAAGGGCGAGGCCAGGGAAAGACGAAAGAAGAACATTGACGGTGAACGGCGCCATGTTGATAGAGGACTGTAATCAGTGGTAAAGAATATGTTATCGACTTGTCTTTCCTCTGTTAGCATAGAACTGATAACGAGGATGAGAATGCTGTGCTTGAGTTGAAGAAACTCTTGACGAGGTCGCCGCGATCTCAGCATCCGTCGCCTTCAAGGCTTGGCATCATCACGTGAAATGAATGAAAAATCACGTGAAACTCATGCTTACTAAGAATATAGGGCAAAGTGTTCGCGAACCCTAAAAATTTCCATTTACACACTTCTCTCCAGCTTATCGCGAGTTTGGTCTGCGTCAAACCACCTTCACCAATAATTACGTATCGCATTGTCAAAAGCGATTCCCCGAAAAGCGCCAGGAACTCGCGACAATGTAAGCTGAGATGCCGCATGATCATCAGGTTTCCATCCCGCTAACTGTCTGTCTGTAGGTTAATTCCAAAGGCTGACCGCAAGCTCATCCACGAGTACCTCTTCCGCGGTATGCAATTGCTTCATCTGTGAACTTTGAATGAGGATTGCGGACACTAACGTTGTATCTCAGAGGGTGTTCTCGTGGCTAAGAAGGACTACAACCTGCCCAAGCATCCCGACATTGACACCAAGAACCTCTATGTATGTGCTTGAAATGATGAACAAAAAAAGATATCAAAATAATCATGCGCAAACGCTTACGGGTAAATGTTACAGGTCATCAAAGCCTGCCAGTCTTTGACTTCTCGCGGCTACCTCAAGACCCGTTTCTCGTGGCAGTACTACTACTACACCCTCACCCCCGAGGGTCTTGATTACCTCCGTGAATGGCTTCATCTCCCAGCTGAGATTGTGCCAGCTACGCACATCAAGCAGCAGCGCTCGCACGCTCCCCCACGTGGCATGATGGGCGGCGAGGAGCGTGAGAGACGTCCTGGTGGCCGTGGTGGTCCTCGTGGTGAGCGTGGTGACCGTGACGGCGGTTACAGACGTCGTGAGGGTGCTGAGGGCAAGGAGGGTGGTGCCCCTGGTGACTTCAACCCATCTTTCCGCGGTGGATTCGGCCGTGGACGCGGTGGCCCAGCCCCATCTTCTTAAATCACACTTATCGATACAACTAGTCAGACGGCATTCATGAATTGATGCTCCTGTCTAGCCGATAGGTATGATGGATGATGAAATGTGAAGGAAAAAATAAAAAGAAACAAAATTTAAGATATGACGATAGCTAGATATATATCAATGGCATTTAATTCGTCATGAAGGTTCCCTACTGGTATTTCAATTATTTTTATAATCAAGGCTAATAATTTTCGGGATAAGGGAGCTGTCTACTTGAATCGCTTTCTATCATACCTGACCACAGCCTGTAGAATGACAGACGCACCATTCACGCAATCTTCGGCCGACGAAAATTCCTCGGGATGATGGCTGACTCCATCTTTGCATGGTACGAAGACCATACTGGTTGGAACCCTCTTGTTTGTGAAGACACTGTCGTGCCCAGCTCCGCTGCGTATAGTCCTATATAGAGTCTCCGGGTTTGGTTTATCTGCAACAACAGCTTTGGCAGATTCTGTGACACACTCGATACATTCAGGATGGAACTTGGTCGCAGGAGTCTCAAAGTCCAACTGCCATTCTGCACGGCAGGGCTTGTTTATACCCTTCCCTTCCTCTCCGGCAATGATATCAAATTCTTTTCGTAACTCAGCATCGACGACGTCTACATCCTCAATTTCAGGGCCACGGATATCGAGGCTGAAGCTGACGAAGCCCGGCACAGTGTTGACACTTCCTGGCTTAACTTCGACAATGCCGACGCTGGCAAGGCAGCCGTGCTTATCGGCTACTTCACGGGCTCGTACCATCATCCTTGCAGAGGCGTACATGGCGTCTGCGCGGTGCTGGAAGGCGGTGCTACCCGTATGACAATCTCGTCCTGTTACGTTAATGCGATACCAGCGGTATGCCTGGACCCCAGTTACGACGCCAACATGCTGGCCGGCGGTGACGAGATGAGGCCCCTGTTCGATATGAAGTTCGAAATGGGCTGCAATAGGAAAGGATTTGTAGGAACAAGGGACACTACCCAGGTAGCCAATCTTTTCGAGAGCGGATTTCATGGATTCAGGGGCTGAAGCAGCCGAGGGAAGTGAGGCTACTGTTGGCACCTCCAGGAGCGAATGAGCAGTTTCTAGGGATATTCCCTCAGCCCAAACGCCTGCCGAAATCATGCTCTTGGGAAACCTGGCTCCTTCCTCGCTGTTTATGCAACTGTTAGCTCTTTCTACATAGCTAGTATGTGTATGTTCAGAGAATAGTGAATACGCACTTCGTCCAGTTGACCACGCCAACACCACCCTCTGTCTCGATCCCTTTCTCCTCGAGGACCTTCAGCATCTCAATACCCGCGCAAACACCGAGAATGCCATCATATCGTCCACCGGTAGGCTGGGTATCTAGGTGACTTCCTACAAATGTAGCTGGTACATCTGCTCTTTTGCCGGGCCTGACAGCAAAGATGTTTCCCATGCTATCAATCGTGACTTTGCATCCAAGCGACTTTGTCGTCTCCACGAACCAGTCTCGGACTTGCTTGTCTTCTTGGGATAGTGCGGGACGGGCCATGCCGGTCTCAGTAGGGTGGCTATCGATCTATTAGCGATCTAGATATCGTAGCGTAGGAAACCCACTTACTCTCCCCATCTAATGCCGGTACCCCATTGGCAGCTATGATGGATCCATTCCTGCAGTCTCTCCTTGTTGGCTCTCAGGCCAGCTACATCAGCTTCAGACAACTCGGTAGTCAGCATATTGTCTCTCGATCTTGTCAATCTGTATATGTTCCCCGTGGACTTGAAGCCATCGTCGGCAAAGAGATCCTTACTATTTATACCATAAAAGCCAGAAAGAGCCGAGCGGGGTGCGGAGAAGCGCCGGTTGGCTCCTGGCCGGCGCCGAAGTTGTTCAGACAGGGCGTGTCCTTTGGTAATCGGATGCGACGCACCAAGGACATCACTTTAAGAACGTATCAAACTGCAATCTTGCCTGTGTAGTTTGTCGTCGGTGATATCGTTGTACCATCAGTGTCTGGATAACCCCCTTTCTTACACTGCCGCAAAGCACACGACACAGCAGTACTGCCACGCACGCGTCTCCTGCCAGCACCACGCCCAAACCCGCTTTTTATCTCGCTCTTTTTTTGATAGACAGGTAGCAAGGATGCCAAAGTCAAAATCTCCCGAGCAAAAAATAAAACTATCGACCGACTGTTGTCGATATCAGGGGGTTCAAAGATTGGTGAGCGGAGTATTATGGGCAAAACCACGGCCATCTCTGGTAAAAGGCAAGAAATGGATTCTGAGCTAGTTTGTCCCACTCCTCGCAGTTTCTCCCGTGACTTGCTTATAAGGGAACCTTATCCGGCCGCGGGTTCGAGCCCCGGCGGTTCTTTTTCGACATTTCCGTCTTTTTTTGTATTTTCCGCCCGGTGATGTAATAAAAAAGAGTAAACACCCGCAACGCCCCGCGCTCGACGTCGACTTCTCCTTGGTTAATTACTACATACACCGCGACTTCAATAGCTGGTAACTAAGGTCATGGCTTCTAACGCTGCCTGTATCTTCTGCAGGATCATCAAGGGTAAGCAGATCGCCACTCTCGTTTGTCCTATTTCAATGCGATTACTGACTGCTACAGGTGAGATCCCTTGCATGAAGCTCTTCGAGAGTGACCGGGTCCTGGCATTCTTGGACATTCAGCCTCTTAGCAGAGGCCATGCGGTCAGTTCAGCTTGATTATCTAGCGGAAGCCATATGCTGACTTGGCTCGGCCTATATAGCTGGTGATTCCCAAGTACCACGGTGCTAAACTCACCGATATCCCAGACCCAGACCTGACCGAGCTCTTGGTGTGTTTCATCGCATATCCTACTCTCTGGGCACGTCGATGCTAACTGTTTCAAAGCCTGTTGCGAAGAAGATTGCCATTGCTGCTGGTGTGGCTGATTTCAACATTCTCCAGAACAATGGCAGGATAGCCCACCAGTTCGTGGACCATGTAAGTTTTTTACGATTGGACTTTAAACTGATACAATTGCTAACAACCACTTCTCAGGTCCACTTTCATATGGTAAGAGCTAATGATTTTTGTCTATTAACAAGTACCAGTCTAACGTCCCGTAGATTCCAAAGCCCAATGAACCAGAAGGTCTCGGCATTGACTGGCCTGCCAAGGAAGCAGACAAGGAAGACCTCAAGGTTCTCTTGGAGGAGCTCAAGTCCAAGATGTAGAAAGCCACGTTAAAGTGGCGAGAAACGAAAAGAATAATAGCACAACCAGTAAGAAGGGGTATCTCATTGCCATACTATTTATTTTGTGTAGATATGGTATATCTCTTCGCACTCAAATGCACATATAACATATATATATGCACGAAACCGCACAAACCCAGTTATATATCTGCCTCAAGATGAAGCTTAACGTACACTCCAACTTTCAAGATCCTCTTCCGGGTGAATGAAAGGGATGAAGGGAGAACAATGAGAAGAAAGACATGACTCAACACAAGCAGGCGTAGTATATTATGCTCCTCATTAGAATGTGCCCAGACCCCGATGGCCATGGGGCGATGACATCCCACGTTGTAACTAGGAGAACATCTATTCATGCACACACAAAACAAGTCCTATGTAGGTATCGAAACAACAGAAGACAGGAAAATCCAATTATGATGGTATGGGTTATATCAGACCGCAGGTGCAGTCTGTTCAGCTGCAGCTGGAACAGCATCTCCATTCACCTTCTCAGACAGCGGCTGAGTGGCTGAAAGCTCCTTGGCTTCCTTTGGAGGTGGAATGAGACCCAGACGATCGTACATGGATCTCGCACGAATATACGGGTCAAGCTGCCAATAGTTCTCACAAAGTTTCTCAGCAAGCTCGGTCCTGGTTTTCTTTATATAGGTCTCTTCCTCGCTGGTAGCAGAATTCGACTTGGAAGCTGTCCACGCTAAAGTTGCTTCCTGGAAAGCACCGGCCATCTCCATTCTGGTTTTCAGCAGCTCGTCACGGCGAGCGGTGTCCTTTTGTTTATCATTCTCACCCTCAACGGGTTCGACGTATTTATATTCATACTCATCTTCGCCACCAAGGGATTTGATAAGGTTCTTGCTGGGAATAATGGCCTCCAAATCCTCGGGGGTCTTGGTAAAGTGCACCTTTGCCGCAACCACAGGATCGAGCCATCCCTTGATGACGGCCCAGATGCTGGAGAATATCCAGGGGGCTTTATGGACTAGAATCACTCCCAAGCTTTCAGGATAATTGGCCTCGAAGCACTTAATCATGAATTTAACAGGTGTATAATCCTGGAACTTGTTAGTGCTGATACAGGAGAGTATTGATTCGAACATACCATATTTGCCAGCGAGAAATCGGTCATATCGAAAACAAGGGCCTATTTAGAGCATTAGCTTGTTCCATTAATAACGAAAGTCGGAGGATCTTACAGCAGTCTCTACTGGAGGTTGTAAAAGAAGTCTAGACGTTTCGATGAGGTATACGGTGTATCTTTCAAGGCTGGGCTCGCAGTGAGCCCCAATTCTGTGCAGACGCACTGGAATATAGCATATCGGTCGTCCAAATTTATCGTGGCCATGCATAAAACTCTCACCAAGCCGGAGAAGCTTTGCGAAATCAGAGGCCTCTTGCTTCTTAGCCAGGTCGTCACTTTTGCTCTCTTCTTCCATAAAACAGTCACCCTTAACCATAATATCATCGATATTCATGGTCTGTGATCTCCATCGGAATGCAGACACCAGCATAACCAAGGCACGGTTGACATCGTACTTGCGTGCACGAAGGAAACGTAGCAAGAGTGCATCAGGGTGGTCATGCCTGACCATGCTCCAGAAGATAAGCCTTATTTCTTCTGGCGAGGTGTCCTTTAGAGCCTCAAGAAACTGACTTGTCTCGCCGTACTTGTCGTCGGCGTCGGATAGCTTCATTGCTGCAACTGAGTTCGACACGCTGTCTGACGACGGAGACTCGCTAGGACTCTCGCTCTTCCGGCTGAAGAAACCCAGTCTCTTCTTAGATTTCTTCGCATCGGGCGAACTGGTATCAGAGGATGTGGCATTCTCTCCATTCCCATTCTGCTGCTCATGCTTCTGCTCCTTCTCCGGCCCCTCACTGGTAATCACCCCGCAAACTTTGAAAAGCGCAGTCCAGAGTTCCTGCAACTTCACTTCCTCCTCCTTCGTCAAATTTCCAACATGTCCGGTGGGTTTCTGTTGCTCACTCATAGTGGTGTTGTGATGGATATGTGGGGGTTCGATTCGCTTTGGCAGTGGGACAGCTGGTAGTGCTGGGTGCTGTTGCTTTGGGTCTCGTATATATAACGCACCAAGTGCAAGCCCGCTACATAGAATGAGGGCGGAAAGAGAAAGCGTCCACACGGAGGACGACCGGACGATGTGCTCTTGTCCGTAAGGGGGCCTCGGAAGTGCACGGGATGAAAAAGGAGCTCCTGAAGACAGGGTATTCCCCGTTGGGCTGAGCCTGGGCAATTGCACCTGATAACAGATGCAACGACCAAGAGTCACAGGTCTGAGCAATGCGAGCAGCGGTTGAGGCTGTGTCGTGAAAGTATAGCGGCTGGGGAGTCGATTGCGCATATGTACTTTTAGGTAGGATGATGGATACGGGACCCTGCTTCGAACTAAGGCAACCTTGAAAACGCGGAGAGAAAGGCGGGGGAAGGAAAAAGGGGAGAGGGTAAGAAGAAGAAAAGAAAGAAAAGGTGCGGCCTCCGCTAATCCGGGGGAAACGAGAGCAGATCGAAAGTCAGATGGCGGTTAAGGGGGGAGTTTGATCCTGGCTTCATCGTTCGTCCCTTTTCAACTGCTGCATCGCCGAGCAAGAAAAAGAAAAAGATCTGAGATCGGGAGATCGGGCGACGAGGGGTTCACGTGATTCCCATGTGGAAAAATCACATGCTCCACCTAAAAAAAGTGTTATTTACAACATCAACATCACCAACCTTAACTGAAGGAGGAGTTGATGATATGAAGGCTTGATCATTGAGCAATACGATATCGGAGGCGTCTGCGCGACAAACAGACAGTGCGGAGATATAACCAAGTTATCCTACCATACTGGCTTACGATGGAGGTGAAGAGACAGAGATCTACCTCCCGCCCGCGGCAACCGTCGCGTCCTACTACCCCCCTAAGGTCGAGCTCCAGGACGTCCATACGCGATACACACAGTTTTTCGGTCAGTGGTGACCCGGGTAGTGGATCGCGGCCGGGAATAAACAGCTTAGAACCTCAATTCGCGGAGCTGGCTGATTCAATGGCGGACTTGGAGGAGAATTTTGTACATCTTCAGTTGATGCATGAAAGTCTGTCAAGATTCAACGAGAGCTTTGCGAGCTTTTTATATGGACTAAATATGAACGCTTTCTGCGTCGACTTCCCAGAGGTGTGTTCAAGTCATATAGCCATAGAGTATTCCAGACGCTGTATCTAACCAACATCGATACAGACACCTATCCCAGAATCATTCACACGTTTCAAGCAAAGGGAAGAAGCAAGAGAGAAAGAGAATGGTATGGAGTATATTCCATATAATAACCTACCTTACCATTGCCCTAGGCGAGATATTTACTGACCGTTTCTTAGAATTGCAAGCTGCTTCAGAGCAACAATATCAATCTGGCGCAAATGACGCAGAAACAACTTTCATGTGTGTTGCCTAAATCAAGCATGATAATTGTACTTAAGACTGACCCTCCGTCTGCTTAGGACCACGGATACCTCGTTTATCGATAATCCGCCAACCACTACAAAATCGTCCGTCAGGTACACAACCCCTGGCGCTGCCTCGAAACGAGCTCCTACGACATCAACACGAGGGTCCAGTGCTGGCCGGTACTCAACTAGAGGATCCTCCAACACTGGCCGACGGGGAACCAGGCTTGCACGCCCCAGAGGCCGGGGCATACGCTAATCATAACATGGTGCAGGGCAGAAGAGACTTAATAATCGTCTAACACTCTGCATTTAGCCAATACCGTCAATGGCTCGCTTCTCACGCATTAAATAATCAACCACTAAATAATCAAGTGGAAATTATCTTCATGATATGGATCGACCAACTTGATCAGAACTACATGCAGAGAGTCACTATCAAGGCCTTTCTCCCCGACTCTTTCTCATACTTATTCGCTGATATCTTGCAACGAGGGAATACAGCCGATTGCCCTTTTCGAGCCTCACTTTATATGAGCTCTTTTAACTCGCAAGGCTAGGTGAAGCGGACTACACATTAGTCATGCAGAGACGCAGCACCAAGCGGACTACCAGACATAGCACTAGGTTGGTTGCTACGAGTAGCCCGACGCGTTATTACATTCGGTATTTGTACGAGGGTGCCTGAACAAGTGAATATGACTTAGGTTACGATGGGAGTAAAGGTTATAAGAATAGGATGGAAGAACGGATAGTGGAAGAAAGAATGGCAAAGTCAAAGTGTTGTACCCGACGGTGTCAATGAAGAACGTTCGCGTGCATGCTTTCTACAACTGGCATGTAGAAATCTTTCAGCCGTTACCAATAAGCAGCTGATAGAATGCCGAATTCGACTCTTACGAGTCCCCAAAGTGTCTTAGAAGTGACGTGGTAAAGCCTTGGTGACAAGAGCTCTATTTGAACTGGGATTTATCCTCAGTAAGTCGCGGCGGCAACCAGCAGTATACCCAGCTCGCCGCGGTCTGGTCAACAGGAAGTCGGGAGTCTTATTGCTCAGGGAGAAGAAAACGGCCGCACAACATATTCATTTCCATTCCCTAACTGCTCCCAGTGGAAAGCCTTTGATCAAAATACTCGCTTTTATTACCAGGTAAAACATTGGAATACTCACAACATGGGCGGGATCTTTTACGGTCAAAGCCTATCCGAGACAAAACTGGGAGCCCGCATCATTTTCATTATTGAACTTCTTAATCGATGCCCACAAGCCGTCGCGAACCAATCTTCCCTCCGGTGATGACATTATTCATCCGAACATTGCGAGTGCAGTTTTTACTCAATAACCAATGCTATCAGCTCTTTAATGTTACGTTACGCAACATGTTGCCGGGGATGCTTCTATGTTGCGTTGGAATATTCCTGCTAGTATAAAACACTTGCACATTTGTCTTATTGCCATAATCGTATGGATGCTAGAAATAAAAAGGAGAACACACCCATAGTCTAGTTGCAATGAAAGTAAGACCACCTCCAGTGAATACTGAAATACTTCAAAACCATCTCAAAAACGCCCACAATGTCATAGTAGCACCGGAATAACAACCGGTATTTGAAGAAAGGAAACATGATAGGGATCACCACTTAACGTAAAAACAAACCCCAATGGAAAGCAACGAGCAGGAGCGAAACAGAAGCAGAAATAGCAAAGGCAATGGTTAGATATGGTCAATTATTAAGCATGGCGAGGCACGGGCTACAGCCAAACGCGGCGCATCAAGCTACTTGCTAACACCATATGCCTGCAAGGTGTAGAAGAGAAGGTAGGCATCTGCCCCAAGAACCTCCGACTCAGCAACAACAGTTACACGGTCATCATTGAATTTGAACCACTGTTCACCGTGCCGGCAGTAAGCAAGGTAGTGGCCAGAGTCGATATCGCCGATGTGGACAACGACGCTCAAGAGGTCGTATTGGAACTGTGACCGGTTCTCTGATCTAGGGCTGGTGGTGTAGGGCATCATATTGATCGAGGCAGGGTATGTGACTTTGGTTTCGACCTTTTCGGAGACAGATCGATTGCGCTCGAATCTCTTCAGTTGCATGCAGAGGATGACTGGCAACTTTCGTAGTCGAAGTTGCTTGGTAACTCCCATGTTGGAGTTACATTGGGTGCATCCATATTCGCTGGCTGCAAGCTTTTCAGGGGAGATATACCCTTCCAAGCACCCCTGGAGGGTTGGCGCAACGTCGGAGCTCTGATCTCCGCCGTCAAGGGCACGCTTCTTCTTTTGGACCTGAAGGTCAAGGCTGACGTCCATCACTGGGTCTTCGGTGCGGGAAACCTTGCCACAGTTGCGACAGGTTATGGTGCTTCGTAGCTTGCCGAAGAATGCGGTGTGGAAGAAGCAGCGACAGGCGGGGTCACAGTCGAGATTCCCTGTGGTGCTCTCGTGAAGTTGGTTTACCAAGAACTGGTAAAATTCGTGGGCGTCTTGCTGGTGGTAACCGGCGAGGTCGGCGGATGTTTGCCACGAGGCAAGGAGGAGGTTGAGGGCACCGAAGCCCTCGTCTTTTTCTTCGTTGCTGAACTCAGCAAAAGCATCTGCGAGAGCACAGCCGAAACAGTTCGCTTTCTGGCACTCGCTCGTGCTATGCCCATTCCCAAGGAAGTAGGCCGTTAAGACCGGTTCGTGGAATAGGGTCTGGAGAATAACATTCATGTAACAGGTCTGACCGAGGTTGAACAGTCCTCTGACACCTTCTTTGCCGCAAATTTTTTTGTTGGTATTCATGGCGATATAATTCGCGTACTCATCATCTTCCAAATTATCGACCTTGCGTTTTCTGGAGACTACAAGGAGAAAGTTAGTCAGAGAGTTGTGATGATAAATGTAGTTATGCAATCTTACCAATAGGCTCAGTGCTATTCTTCAGAATGCTTTCCAAGTCGATATCGTAGATGAGGTCGTTACATCCTTGGCAGAAGACATGCTTGCTTCTGTAGTCGGCAACTAGATTGACGAACTAGTTAGACGTTGATTTCCTTCGGTATAGTCATGAAGTGGCAATTTACAAAATATATGTCCTGTCTGCGAGCTATGCTCACAACGTGCAGCTTTCACACCGACAACCGAGCATTGGAGGCACTGGTATTGCGGTTTCAGGGAGAACTTTGGCCCAGAGCTACTCTTTTTCGAGGCATCTAGACGAATTTGTGATAAGTTCCATGGTCCCTTGCTACTCAGTTTGGTGTAGTTCTCAGCGAGTCTGGTGGCTGCGTCTGTGTCTTTCTCAAATATATCCTTGAGGTGTTCTGTGCGAAAGTAGGTCAAAATGCATGCTTTGAGCTTCCTACGAAGGAACGAACACTTACCACAGCCATAAGCTGGCTCATAAAGAGGAGTGGACAGAGTAGCCATTTTGGATATAGTAATCCCCAAGGACGTAATGTTGAATAATGTGTAGGTAGATGCAGATAACGTGCAACACCGTCGAGTGGGTATTAAGATAATCCACAGAGAACGCTGACGCCGATAAGCAAGATGGAAGGTATTTCCTGTACAATTAAAGCAATATGCAAGGATATAGCTTTAAGATCACCCAGATAGATGTAGGGAAGAAAATGTGAGTATGGAGCAACTGGGGAGATAATATCTTCACTTTCAGATAGACAAGTGATGGCAAAAACAGGAAAGACCACTGAGATACGGGTATCAAGTAACTGTGACCGGGCAAAGCTGGTGGAATATCCTCCTATCGGTATGAAACAGAGCTGGGCCAAAGAGAAAAGAGAAGAGGAGGAAGAGGGTGGAGGCCAGGCTGCTAGGTTTATATAAAGATGAAGATGAAGAAAGGAGAAGACGTCGCTCTACGCGAGAGGACAGGACCGGATTATGTAACAATTGGATTAGATAATCAATATTAAGCTTTAGTTCGGGAACACTAAACTTAACTTTGTTTTCGCGCTAATATAAGTGTCGTTTTTCTCCTTTGCCTTCAGATTTAGACAATACTCGATAAAGAGGACATACGGCATTACAAACTCGTTCCCCCACTCGTCATACACGCAGATTGGGACCATACCAGAAGAGGCTCCAACACATTACTCACGCTGGTGAAAGCCTTTTTAGTAATTATTAACTCAAGTGTTTTGCCAAAGCAACGCGGCTTATTTCTTAACAAACCCTCCGAACCTCAACTGGGAGGCTGTTCCGATTCATACCATGGAGAAAAATTCTCGTTTCGAGTCACAAATTGCTTTGAATGCTAAAGCTCTTCATGAGCTTAGCCCACTTGTGGTTAAAATATCTCAAGACAATATGGCATCTCATGGAGTCCTATTGGAAGAAAGCCTTCCTGCCGTTATTCAGGGGCTTAACCGAGCAATAGTTAAAAGCGACGTCTTGTGGGCTCTTGGATCAACTGTCGTACTTGGCCTCAGCGAAGAGATAGCCATGAAAGCTGGTTGTGGCATCGACATCGACCACATTCCAATGATGAATTACATCAAAACACGAGTTCCCCGGCTTCGAGCACCACATATACATGGAGTCCTCCAGGATGGTCGCCGTAGCTTTGTGTTCATGACTCGCATTAAAGGCGAGCCACTTGACAGAGTTTGGAAAACGCTCGATAACTCCCAGAAGGAATCGATCAAAGAGCAATTAGAGATCATGTTCTCTGGCATCAGATCACTAACCCCACCTCCCTCAGACGAGCCACGAGCCCTTCTTGGTGGTGGCATTCCGAGGAGATGCCGAGATGCAAGGAGGCATGTACGAGTCGCAGAGAAACCCATTGAAAGTATGGTCGAGTTCAACCTGTTCCTTACCACTGATCCAAATCGTACGGAGACTGGGAGGTTAAAAATGATTCGCTCATTCCTTTCCTCCGACCATAAATTTGTTATGACACACGGTGACCTCCATCCCCGCAATATCATGGTCATTACGTCCAATACACTCCCTTCGGACGCTTTTACGCCGTTGGTTAAGGTTACGGGTTTGCTAGACTGGGAGATGTGTGGCTATTATCCTGATTATTGGGAGTATGTGAAAGCATTACATACTATTCACCCTGGGGACGGTTTTGACGATTGGTGGAATTATCTACCAGCTTCGATTGGAGTATGGCCCAAGGAGTATAGTGTCGACGAGCTGATAAGTCGTTGGAGAGGCTAAGGCAATAATCCGGCATATGCTTCTGGTTACTATTTTTCGTGGACTTTCAACGCAACTTTTGAAACGGCTCTGCCGGGACACGGTATTCAATGAAACTAGGGCAATGTCCCTCCCTAAGAAGTTGGAGGAGAGTAGAGACTACTGCGGTAGACGGGTTACGAAGGCCACGTTCGCTCGTCCATGTTTTGGAGCATGTTAGCTTATGATACAATTCAGAATGCATCATAAATGTTACTTAAGATATGGCCCCAGCTAATTTGGTACCTTTAGTCACTTCGTTAAATGAACTAGCTAGTGAAAGGCCTATACACAAAACCCCAACAGCCAAACAACTACCATAGGGTAAATAAATCATACCAAATTTTCAAAACAAGGCCTCTGCTTTGGTGGCTTACTCGCCAGTATTGTAAATAAATTCAAATACGCTAGGTAAAAGCTCGTTGAAGTGATACATAGTTAAGCCTTGCAGATTATAATTTGACGTCATGTTGCTAGTGCCACGCGGAACAAAACTTCACCACCTCACTGCCAGTTCTGCCTCTTCGACTGTAGATTTGCCTTTGCAGTAGGAGACACCTGCATAAAACCCTCCTCCTCCAGGTTGTCCAGGTTTTCCATGACCCAAGATTGGCAGTTCCAGGTTGTGCTTTGGTTGTCGACTGGATGGCTTTGGATTTTGCCTTCTGCCTCGCGTTCTTTTTCAGTTGGGATGGTGCCGCAAATAATGGTTTCCTTGAGCTTGAGTGATCGACCTGGCTCCTTACGAATTGGCTGCTCGACATAATACCCAACGCCGCCTTTGTCGTCCCCAACTTGGAGGATTGTCGAGTCTCCATTCTCGCTTTTCAGCCATAGCGCCCAATGACAGGGGTCCCGCTCGTCAGAAGGGTTGTAAATTGCGACTGCCACGGTTGTCATCTTGAAGCGTCACTATTTGAGAACGGTCAACATCACGGACGATGGGCAGTTTCAGGTAATAGATCCCACGGCACAGGAAACCAGAAGAAAGAAACCAATCACCCAAGCGGGTGAATGAAAGCCTGTGGACTTACATTGGTGGTACTGGATGTACGTATTGCAGGTGCTGAAACCAAATTCCGGGAAGTACGGGTAGGATATTTGTGCCCTCGACAAAGACTGGCTTTGGAATGGATTTTTCGACACAGATGGAGACACAAAACCGAAGAGAATCGGGCGCTTTCTACATCGTTAAATAGGCTGTACCTGTCGACTTCTCTGCCGCCTCCCTGCCGAGCACAGAAAGAATGGTCAGCGCTAATGTTGGGAAGAGGCAGAGCAATGAAGGCATGACCCAATGAGGCACTAAGTTATCTGTTGGAGCATGCACGTTTGAAACATCAAGGTAACAAGTTGCTCTCTATGCACAATGCATAGCCCCGGCAGGGTAAAGGGCGGCTACGGGATGTATCCGACTAGCTATAGCTAAATATGGGGTGCCATTATTAGACCCTTTTGGTGCAATCAACCGTCGCCTGGTTTACGGGTTAAATTTAGAACACCTCCCAGCGGGGATATCCCGTGGCTTTACTCCGGGTTTTACGGAAGGGGGTTGGCATTGAAATTCCGCTATAACTAGTTTGTAATCTGGCCCCCAACAACTACCAATTCTCGGGATTTCATGCATGGATGGATACTCCACCACTGCAACAAGTTAACCGCCAGCACGCCCTGGTTTTGTAAGTATCAAATGCTCAAACCCACCCCTGAACTACACGTTGACTCACCAACAACCAACTACCAAGAGATCAGAAGAATATGGCGTTTCCCGACCTACATATCGTCGAGCCCAAAGGCGCCCATATGCACACTATCATTCTGCTCCATGGACGTTCTAGTGACGGTCCTGAATTTGCCGAAGAACTCCTTGATTCGAAAACGTCCGAGAAGAAGACGCTTACGGCGCGGTTCCCAAATTGCCGCTGGGTATTCCCTACCTCTCGAGACCGATGGAGTTCAGTTTTCCAGGAGGACTTAACTGCTTGGTTTGATATATATTCTCTGTCGAACACCTCCGAGAAACAAGATCTTCAAATTGATGGCTTGAGAGAAACAATTCTATACATTCTAGGGGTTATGAGTCAAGAGATTGATCTTCTTGGAGGAAGGCCCGAAAAAGTTGTACTTGGTGGAATAAGCCTGGGCATGGCGGCAGCTTTATGGGTACTCCTATGCTCACCAGGAAGATTCAAAGGGAGAATCGGCGGCTTCATCGGGATGTGTGGATGGCTTCCATTCGCGAATGAGATCCAAGACTTACAGCACCCAAGGGAGATGATACCAAAGTTCCTTTTGGATACCGTCCGATGCGAAGAACAGGTGCAAACCAGCACAATAGATACTGAAACCATGCTATCTACGCCAGTATTTCTACTGCATGGGTCTGATGATACCTGGGTTGATGTTGAACTGGGTCGCGCGGCGCATAGGGGCCTCTTGAAGCTGGGGATGAAGCCTGAGTGGAAGGAGTATGTGGGTGCAGAAAATAACGGACACTGGATAAAGCAACCGGGGGGGTTTGATGCTATTGTTCAGTTCTTGGAGGCTGTTTGGGCATCATAGAGCTTATTAAACACTTCCCTGTCGCGAAGGAAGATCTCGGATATGAGGCTGTTGTCCAACTGTTGAACGAGAAGCACACCTCAATTTAGCATGCCCACAGCTACTGTCAGATAATGTATTCAGGGTGTCGTGGGTACTTCAATTCTACCCAGGTAAATCGAGCCATTGGCATGAGACACTATTTTTTGAGTAAAAGTTCAAGGTTCCCTCAGGACAGTTAAGACTCGTTGGGTCATAAATGCATTTTGATTTAGAATAAAACCCCCAGAACGTATTAAGTATCAATGGGTTTGGTCGAATCGTTAAATATTTTCATTATTAATATGTTATATTTTAAAGTGTTTATTTATTAGTAGAAGCCGCCAGTGAAACGAAATAGGTAATAGGGGTTGTCGATGCTAGATTTAAGGTCCTAACCTTTGGGATGACCCTACTAAGTTCAACTTTATGCTTCTATCGCCAGTACCGTTTGTTGGGAGAATACCGTATCGACCATAGGTTTTCTGATCCACAGAAACGTAGTGAGGTAGCCTTCCGAGTAAATTTAACTTTGTTTCGATCCACCTGAGAACTTTCTCTGGTGGAAACAGGAATTTCAAGTATCCCAATCCAACTAAAACGAGGTCTATTAGCATAAAGACTTGAAATTCTCAGGAAAAAGGCACTTACGGAGATATCCAACAGCGATGCAGCACGTGTGGCCCGTGAAACTTGTGTTGGGAAGGACTGAAAAAACTGCATTTAGGATCAAGGGAAACGTCCAGCTCGGAATTTGGTATTTACCCCAACTGTTTGTCTAAAGTCAGATTTATAATTTATATATCGTAAGGGGTGCTGTACTGGCATACCTGATGTGGGGGTGTGTTTGAAATCTTTTTATAGCTTCTGAGCCAAGGAGTAAGAAAAACCACGAACTAGGAATAACTCATTAGAAAGCGCACAGCCATGGTATCGTGGTAGAATTGAAAACACACCTAGAACCTAGAACGGGCATATTGGTCCGGAAAATGAATCTGGAGAACACAACATATATACCGGCCGGTAGTGTTGAAAGGGCTGGAAAGGAATCTGTAAGC